ACACTAAACTGTCATTAAACAATAACAACTGGGTGGAGCTGGCCGTGACTTTGTTATTCATTGGCCGGGACCTGCATGAAGGTGCCAGCCAATAGGAAACAGTTGAGCAGAGCTAGCTGTCACCGTTAGCTCCACCCAATTGGGTTTTTTTGTTTAATTTTTCTCTTTAAAATATTTCTATTATTTTTAACATTTTCCTATTTTTTATCATTTTAAAAATAATTTGGCAACTATTTTTTCTTTTTTTCTCTCATTCTTTTTAACCTTTTTTCTATTCTGCTCGCTACCTCCGAGGTACCGAGCAGAATAGCTGAGCCGAATCCCGCTCGGCAGTATTTGGCTATTCACTCACTGCCGTGCGGCCCCCTTTCAGAATAGGGGCGAACGGCAGCAAGTGAGATGCCGGAGCTACTGCTCATCTGGATTGGCTGAGTCGAAGTCCCTCTGCACTTCGGCTCATTCCACTTCGGCTGGGTTATTCACTTGGCTGCCTTTGGCAGCTTTGTGAATAACCCTCTAAATATTATCCAGTTAGTGTTTACATCTACTTTCAGGTTTGACTGGAGTATAACTTTAAAAACGTATCTGTGAAATGCAATTTACCAGTATCAGGACTGGGAAAACCTATTGTATCTGGTAATTGCACTGATTTTATCCACTCAAAGATACTAAGGTGAATAAAAGCCAAACATATTAAGTTTTCTTAGTATCACTAAATGTATTCCATCCGACAATGCATCTGAAATTTCAGTACTATTGATTAGGAAAGTGTCCTGCTAATACACTGTGCTGCTTTTTGCTTATGATATGGAAATCTGCAAATCAAATTGCCTAAAGTGTAGTTCAATTCACCTGGGGTATCAAATACTTTTTGTAGGTATTTATGATTCCATTTAAGCCCCTAGAAATGATGGTGTGATTTTAATACTACAGCTTAAAGTGTATGTAAATACAAGAAAAAAAATGTAATATATTGCAGCCCTTAAATGTGATGGGTGCATTCATTTTTTTCAGGCTTTTTCCCTTTATTTTTGACAGGCGATCCTGCCAGTAACACAGTTTATGTCCTAGGGTGACAACGCTAACTTACTGTATCTAAGGAGGAAGATTATTGTCACCCTGGGACTACAGAAAATCTTATCTCTATAACACTGGGCAGACCTGATAACACGGGATTTCAGTGAAGCAGAGGTTACAAGCACACTGGATTTCTGGCAGGATGACTAGGTATTTTTCTGTACTTGCAGCATTTGTAAGGGAATAAAACATGTGCATGTTTTGGGGAGATGTACTGAATATGTTTTTTTTTGTCAAGAAATACACATTAAAGTGATATTAGAGTCATGCTGCTCCTTGATGTTTAAAAGTTTTATTTCCTGCAGAATCAGCTGGTCCTCTGAGAACTGACCCTGACATCTTGTTTTAGGGTGACTCCCATCTCTCAGGTCCTCCTCTGCAGAGTGACATCAGTCAGTGGGCGGGCGCAATAGCCAGCCTACTATTGCAATTTGAAAGAGCCAATGGCAGGCTGTTTATTTCTCACTAACTGCCTAATGTAAACAAAGGTTCGTTGAAAGCAGTGAGCGGCAGGGATTTTTTGTTTTGTTGCATCGGTGGGCATCGGGCATGGAGGATCGGGAAGATTTACATCACTGGATAATGTGAATTACATCATGGGCCTTTTTTTTTCGTTTTTCTTTTCTTTTTTTAATAAAAGAATTGTAAAAAATTCTGTTTTGTGTTTATTTACCATTGAATGTTTAAATGTTTGTTTGGTGAATGAGTACGGGTAACATTCACCCTTTACTCATTCACCTGGAGGAAGGAAGGTGGTATCTTGTGCCCACCTTATCAAAGCAGGCACCCATATTCCTATAAGCCCCCCTGCCTGCAGACACCCACAACCACTGGGCCAGGGTTGTGGGGACGAGGCCCTTGTCCTCATCAACATGGGGACCCTACCCCATGTACCCCAAAACATTCTGCTCTTCATAGAAAGTATAGGGGGAAGGAGTGATTTCTGTGCCTCTGTTGTAAATAATGAACATTCATTTTTTCCCCAAAGCCAATAGCTACAGAGGTAAATGAGAACTTGTTTTAAAGTGCTTTTACTGCTTGTTCAGAATATGTTAACACTAATGTGCATAGTCTCGGCACAGGTTGACTTTAAATGATTATTTTTGCACGACAAGTAGTCCACTTATTTATGCAAACTACTCCCCATGCCAAAACACTGCAGTACAGGGAAAAAAAATCTGGGGAGGGGAGAATGTAAGTAAGCATATTAACCTTACCCCTGGCTACCACTAGGCAAGAGTGAGGTCAGCCACCCTGCAAGTCCCCGGGGAATGTGGAACATCCTAAATCTTGTGAGATGATGATCCAGCACACAGGAAGCGGGTTGAATGATGCTGGTCAACATTTAACCCCAAAGAGGCCCTGCATGGGCAAAGCACCGGTTTACCCTACTAAATCAAGGGTTTTTCCATTCCAGTTTTTTATTACAGAGTTTACATTTATGTTTTGCGGCCAGTTTAAATGCAATTTGTGCACGGTGGAGTAGAAACAAGCAAATAAACAAATAAAATGTATATTGTTGCTGTGTAGTGTTCTGTCTACTGGCATTTAGAACAAAATTAGATTTAATTTCTGGAATCGAGCGAAGTTTATCGTTTCCTCCCACCCTCCTATGTGCTTTCATTTATTTTTGCTTTGCTTTTGTGAATAATCTGTTTGGCAGTCACATATCTGCCTGTTTACAAGACACCTGTTCAGAATAATCTATTAATTGTACAGATATTATCAACAGCGACGTTCTGTTGTTCTCCATGGAATATATTTGTACAACTAGGAGAAAACAGATCATATCAATTCTAATGCTTCATTTAGTACACAACATCTCTCGCTTGTGCCTGTCACATTTGTTGCAGAATAGATCTAATTTGCTCCTGTCTTTCAATATTACAACACATTTGTTTAGGTAATGAGGTTACATTTGTGTATTTGCACCACATCAATCCGAAGAATTGTTTATAAGATACAGCTCTTCTTGGAAATGTGGTTTAGAAAGGAAAATAAATGACAAAATATAAGAAAATAAACCTGTCAAGAGGTGTAGGGGTTTTGCTTGAAGATGTTTCGCTAGTCATTCCGACCAGCTTTCTGACTTGTACAAAATTTATCTGGGAATAAATATGGCGAATGTTGCTCCAATCAACATAATCTGGAAAATGGCTATCTTCTCCGTATTATTATATACCTCTATGCATTCCCCCATCTACATGAGAAGATGAACGCTGGGGTCTGTTCAATAAATCACCTGTGCTAATATGTTATGGTATATTTTATATGGTAATTTGAATTATTTGTTTATATATTTGTTTTTTCATTATTGTATTTGTTTTCTTTCTGTTTATTTATTTTTATTTTTTTGTGCAAACTTTAATAAAAAGGAACTGATTGGAAAAATAAAATCACACCCATAATCTGTTAAACATAACCAGCATGGGGTCAGAGACCTCTGGTTATGTTTAGCAGAATATGTGGATTGGAGCAACATTCACCATTTGTATTCCCGGATAATGTTTGCACAAGTCATTCTGAATTGAGAAAGCTAGTCGGATGACCAGCGAAATATCTTCAAGAAAAAATACAACAAGTCCAGTTGCCCTGATTTATTTTTTACAGATATGCCCTGACCTGGATGAATGAGGACCTTCACAGACATACATTCCTAAAAGTGTCAGATTCTGCATGAACTATAGCACAAGTTATTTCTTTATTACTGCAGAGATTAGGAGCAGGAGAGGTGAGTATTCTATGGGTTTTTTTTGCAGGAGACTATTTACATTTAATCTTTATTGTAGTAACAAGTTTGCTTTAAAGCACAACTTCAGCAAAGCAAATTGGCAAATAATGAATAGCCCATAAAACGATAAAATAACAAAACCCGCTTTTGCTGCAATATTGCTCTGCCCTGCAGTACTTTATTTTTGCTGCTAGATGTCCTTATTCAACCCACTTCCCCTGAGTCCAGATCATCGTGGACCTTTCCCAGCCTGTGACTGGACAGTGAAATGAAATGCAGCACAGTGATGAGCTCATCTCTCAGCCACTCTGCTTTCACTTCCTATGTGCAAGCTTCTTTTAAGCACATTGACTGATTGGCTATGTGTACTGCTTCATCCCCTCATTCCAGCCCTGCTGTACTGGGACTGCAAGAGGCTGATATCAGGTACTTATAATGCCTGCAATAAAAAAATACTAATGATTACAGAGCTGCATTAAAGTAAAATGATGGCCTTCTGTTGAAAAAATATGTGCTGCAGCAGCTAATAATAATAGCATATTTTTATAGGCTTCCCGTTGTCCCCTACAAAGTTACACAAATACATTGTATCCTTGCAAGTTCACGTAATGCAGCTTCCTGTAATGGTGGGACAAAGATGCTGCACTGCTCTTGAATTCAGAGAAGTGTTGCCACTTCTGTGTCTGCCTGTACTACAGGGGGATAAAAACATGTTGCAGGGGGCATGACTATTAGCATTCTCACTCCTAATTCACAAGTCTGTAGCTTGCCAATCAGCACCTGGCCACACCTATTCCTGCACACTGCTTTCTGGATGGACAGCACTGCATCTTTTGCTAAAGCCCTCTGGCTGTGACCTGCGGTGTCTGAGAGCATGTGAGATACAAATGAAGGAGCATTTGGCTCAGTCAGGGAAGGTAAAGGACGTTTTTTACTTACTTCATGAGGCTTGTGCATCACATTATAGTTTGATTTGGTATCTGTGTAAACTTGTACTTTAATTTGTGTTGTTTACATCTGTTGCATGGTGGTTCAAATCTTCAGCATCTACCAAGCACTGAAATATCAGTCTGAGTGAACTGACCCTTTTAGTTGGAGATGCACATCAATCTTGAACTATACCAAGTAGTACCACCCACAATGAAGAGCTGTACCAATAGTAGCTCCACCACTGCGATACATATCGACTTACCTCATGGATTCCGAAGTGTGCATAGGAATCAAAGTAGTAATCTCTTGAGGTCATCTCTTCTGGATTTAACAGTTTGGCCATTTTACCTCTTCCCGGGCAGCTTGGTTGAATAGGGGTGTTTATGACATTCTGAGATGACTGTATGGGTTTCGGGATTACCACTGGCTGAACAGGCTGCGAAGGGCCACCACAAACCTGCAAGGAAAAAGTTATAAACATGTGTTGAAATGTAAGAACGACTCAATTGCCAGCTTAGTTAAAAGTATAGAAGGTAACCACTAACAGTTTAGGACAGAAATACTGTTGTAATTAGATCAAGAGTTGAAATTTAGTTTTAACGCAGATCTAAATTCAATAACTAAAATCTTACATAAAATAAAAAATGTTAATGTTATTTAAAGAGTCATTTCCAAACTTTTTAAAACCTGCATCTTTCATTGCTCTGGTCCAGAGGCATAATTGCAAATCACAGGGCCCATAGCAAAACTTGAATGCCTCCCCCCCATCTTCCAATGAACACTTTATACAGTACTCACCACTTCGGCAAATTGGCTGCCAGCAGCTAATAGTACAACCATTTATAATGCACCCTCTTTATATTACCTTTTAGTGAAACTGTCCCCTTTAAATTGGCTTCCAGTGAAATCGCCTCTTTACAGTAAGGGATTTACCCCCTTTATGTCGGATTTCAGTGAGATTGCCCCCTTTGCATTGGCTTTCCGTTAAATTTCTCCCTTTAAATTAGCGATCAGTGTTTTTTTCCCCCTTTACATTAGCATTCAATGGAACTGCCCACTTTATCTTATTTTATCTTATCTATATTTATATTAGCATCCAGTAGTTCATCCACTTTCTATTGGAATTCCTAAATGCCTTTGTCCTTCTGTAATGATTATCCTAATAGGAAGATGGAACTCAGCTGCGGAGACACGTTAACAGTCACGTGCTCAGGTCCAGGAGTACGTGATGACAGGGTTTATATTGTCAACCACCTCAATGCATCATTGTTCTCTCTTCCAACCTCACTAATCTCCCTATGGTTATACAGTAATAGTTGGAATGTGTGATAACACCTTAGAATATTATGTTCCAGGTTAACAGTCTGGATAATTGCGGAAACGGTATATTAAGATCATACACCTGTGTTTCCTTGTACAGGTTTATCTTCACCACTTATAAATCAGAACTTTAGGTAATGCAAGGTTATCGTCACCACTTATAAATCAGAACTTTAGGTAATGCAAGGTTATCTTCACCACTTGTAAATCAGCAATTTAGGTAATACAAGGTTATCTTCACCATTTATCACTCATGTTGCAGTACTATAGGGAAGTCCAGCCCCCCTACATATAATCACTTATAGACCCAGTGAGCGGCAACCCAGTGGGGTATACTTGCGGTTTGGGATCAGCGCTGGTCTTTGGCTTCTCCTCCCTGGCAGACACGTTAGCCCTAGTCCCTTGGAAGGCGTCTAGTGTGTGGCAATATTGGTAGGTAATCCGTGGGGGGAATCGAGTTGACAGCACTGCTGTACAGAGATCGTGATACGTCTGGCGTCCGCATCGGTTGCTTGAACGCCAGACAATTGCGATGTCGCGCCTTATGACGTGGAAAGGGCCGGCCCCGTCTGACGTCGGCGTCCCGGGGGTGGAGCCTTCCCTCGAGTCCGCTACTCGGAACGGCTACGTCCCCGGGAACCATTACACCTTCAATGAATGATGGAGAGAATAAGATATTTGTACTTACTGTAAAATCCCTAAAACAAATTGTCTTCAAGTTAATTGGGGCACATGGGTTTTTGCCCCTATGTACTGCTTGCTTTGAGGCATACTGGGTAGAGGAAGGGTTATACAGTACAGGCTTTTTATTTTTTGTTTGTTTGTTTGTCAGTGTCCCAACCTCCTGTAGGTGGCCATATAACCCTGACAGTAATAGAATTCCTACATTTCGGTGTCCCTCAATGTCAAAGAAAAATATTTCAAAATAAGTGCACAAATCGTAATTTACTGGAATTTCCCCCTGTACACGCGTGTTCAGAGGTGAAACAGTGTCTTTACTTTGGTGTTCAGTGGTATATGGGCCGCCTTTACATTGGCTTTTAGTGGATGTGACCCCTTTATATTGCAATTCAGTGGGTATGTGGATTCTCTGTACACTGATGTTCAATGGTGGAAGAACCCTCATTACAAATAGTTAAAATGTCCCCTTTTACTTTGGTGGAAGTGTAGCTACTCACTTCTTCACAGCAGTTCATGTGCTTTTATTGGCTGCTTCGTGAGCAGGGAGATCCTTCCACAGAAAAACTGTATTCTCCAGTAGGTGCCAGCAGATCTGTGTTCACTTTTTCGCCATAGGGATGAGGTGCCCAAAGAAAACAGGCAAGGAAGTAATTTTTCTCAGCGGATCCTGCCATGGTACCTTTTCTTTCTGGGTCCCCTCTTCTTCCAGGCCCCAAACCATTGCATACGAAGCTATGGTGATAGTTACAACAGTGGCTGTATCCCTTTTTCACAATTGTGTTATTGTGTTGTCCCCCTTTCAATCAGGATTTGGATGGAAGCCACAAGTGGCTGTTTAAACAAACATTCCACAGACACGGTCCACTGTCATCATTAGCAAACCCATCCTAACAATGCCATTGAAAATACTCTTTGTAGTTTAGGCCTTTTTAGCTGCTCTGCCAAAGTGCAATGCTCAGGCCTAGCAGCCTATTGCTAGGCCCAAACCTTGTCACAAAATAAAGGGAGTGATGTCTTTGCTCTCTGTAAGCTCTGCCACCTGGGAGGAAGGAGTGGCATGAAGGTAAGTATATGTGGGTAAGAAGGTAGGCTTCAAAGTGACCCTTTCACTTTGCCCTAATTAATCAAGGTGACAGGATCTCTTTAAAGCCAGTGTAGGTAATATTGTCCCTCGACTAAATGTTCCATATAAACAGAATAATTAGCTTCGCTGCCCAATTACTCCTTGCTCAATAATTTGATCACTCTTGGGTGTGTATGACCAAATCTTTAACACATCAATCATAATGTTCCCATAATAAGTAATTTCAGGTACTCATTTTGGTGGCATGCTTGTTGCTCACCGAAATCTGTTTTTAGCACAAATATTGGAACATGGGCTTCTTATATTTATAGGCACCATTATAGTCTATCAAAGATACATTGTGAATTTCATGTCTCATTACAAAGGAGTTATACTCCATTAATTGTTGGGTCTTTTGTCCAATTTCTCTTTAAAAACGATTTTTTTTCCACTTAAATACACTGAACCCTTTTATTTAACAGCAAAATAATTTCAATGACAAATTGACAAGGGAAAGAGAATGAGATCAAAGAGAATAAAGACAAAGAAGAAGGCGCTAAAAATAGAATACTCAATGGGAATTGTATAATAGCATTTAGTGAAGCACAATACAAAAACCTCAAGAAATTCTGCCGTAAAATCCGACAACAAACAGTGGAAAAATACAGCCTCTTCAGGATCTGCATTTTGTCAAGTGGGGTCACAAGAAAAGGAGGGTTGGATTAGACAATGATGTGCCTGTTTGCATGTACTGTATATTGATCTAAAACAAACTAGCCCTCCAGTAGCATAAACTGTTTTCTAATGGATATCAGAATACCATGTTGAACACAAACATTTTGGGGACTAGCACAACCATTTTAATAAAGTGTATATATGGCCCAAAATATTTGAGGCAGTTTTGGGTAGAGTAGTTAGAACCCCTGTCTTTTTTACCCCAGTAATTCTTGCCTTGGAGACACAGGAAGACACAGAGGAAGTCACCTTTGCGAAACTCGACATTCCGACACATCCGAATTCCCGAATCCCAATGCATCCGAATTTCCGTTTCGGAATCTCGTCTAAATTTCGTTCAAAAAGTCAGATGTGTTTTTCGGTTTAATGCATCCCTATGGGTCTGAACACACATTTTTGTTACGGCAACATGGGAGCCATATAGAGTATATACATCTAATACCAAAGCTGAGGCTCCTAGACCCGAATGGCATTCGGGATCCGAATTTCCGAATTGCATTCAGGAGCTCCCGAATGCCATTCGGGTCTGGGAGCCTCAGCTTTAGTAATATATGTATATGGCTCCAAGACCCTTATGGCATTCGGGAGCTCCGAATGCAATTCGGAAATTCAGATCCCGAATGCAAATTCGCATCTAGGAGATTCAGCTTTAGTATTAATATCTGTGTATGGTTTTCTGTTGCAATGAATATTCCTAAACTCATACGAAATTAACAGAAATTCGGATTTCGACCGAATCCGAAACCCTATTCAAATTGAATTTTGGATCCGAATACCGAAATAATGAAATATTCGAACCGAACCAAATTTTTCCACAGTTTACGTGTCTACCTGGTTGTCTCTAGCTTCAAAATTTTCTTAGTTACTCACCTGGAACAGTGACTTATAAAGTGCTAACGTCAGCATGACAGCATCTCAACATGGGCAGGAAAACACAGCTTCAATGTGTGTCTCGCCGTAGGTTTTCACTGAAGTGAAGAGAACAGATGCAATAATCTAAATGAATGTGTTGTATTCTCTTTTCTTTGGTAGAGGGGTCTTGCAAGTCTTCACAATGTTGATTGAAATAGCATTCTGATACCTATTCAAAAGTAATCCACGTAACTGGATCACTGGTATCTTGCAGAACATTAGTCACATGGTGCCTCTATAAATCGATGCACTCATACCTTACCAAAGATGGGCCTTCAAGGATACAAAATTGTTTGGGATGGACATTATCTGAATACATATACTGATATGTTTTCATGTTCAGGAGGGACACTTAGCTTCGGAGCAGTGTTTGTCAACAGCAATGCCTTGCTTCATTGTGGGTTTGCCAATAGTAAAGATAATTTAAGTAAGCAACAGAGTTACAAATAATTCTGCTAATCTCTAGCTGCAATAAAACTAGTCACATAATCCCTGTGTAATTTTATTAAAATATGTATTACCTTTTGCAAGGTGCTAATTTATTAAGCAATGAGGTACATCAGTCAAGTGCGTAAATCAGTCATAGTGTGAATTACAAATCTAGAGATTCAACAACTAAACCCTCACATTTATGGAGTCCCCAAGCATCTGGGGGTTCCATACCACACCTCACATTAGTAATTCTTCACTTGCAGCAACTCACCCACAACAGGATTGCTAGAGAGACCACTCACCTGCTCTTATGT